GGAAGTGGTGCTGTGGCTCAAGTGGTAGAGCGCTAGCCTTGAGCTGAAGAGCTGAGGGACAGCGCCCAGGCCCAGAGTTCAGGCCCCACAACTGACAAAAACAAAACAAAACAAAAAATCACTACCTTTAAGGCTTTAATTTATACACAGAATGGGTATGGGGTACACATGTGCTATGTAAAATGTCTGGTGAGATACAATCCCGTTTCTGAAGCGGAGCCCACCCTCACGGTGGCAGTGCTGAGGGCTGTGGCCAGCAAGGATGGACCCGTGCTGCAGGTTCAGAGCTGTGTCCTGCCGGTCAGCGCTCAGCTTCGTGTCCACTCTCGAAGGCCGACGGAGCAGGGATGGCCCAGTCTGCAGCAGGGATTGATGAGCTGTCTACAGACATAACAACAACTAAGAGAACAAACACAGTCACAACCATGAGAAAGACACCACAGCCCCGGGCCGCTGCCGGGCGGGTGGGTGGCCTCTGTGCCGCCCCTGACCCTCACACGAGGAGACCATGCGTTTTGTCAGGACTTTCTAATTGCGCCATGGCGCGTCCGTGCTTTCTAGTGGCCCCACATCCCACTCCCGGAATGCTAGGCAGGTCTGAGTGAGAGAGCAGGCTGACGTCCTCAAGCACGCGTAAGAATCTGGCTTTCTTACACTATATCACACGCACTCACGGTTCATTCTGGATTTAAAAGTACACGCAAGAGAAGGCAGAGCCACATCTCTGGTCGAGACAACCATTTTCTTTTCCACACAGAATGAATCCTTGGATGTCACAAAAGAGACCTAGTTCTTAATGTTCTGATGAGTGGAGAAAGCAGAAAATCTGTTTCCATGTCAAGCAAAAAAGGGGATATTCCAGAAGCAATTCAAATAGGTTTTATTCGCACATAAAGACTCCCTCCTTGGCACTCTGCTTTCCTGCTCCTGGATATAAACTATAGGTGGAATGGGGTGAATAATTTTCATTTCTAATTTCATATCTTTTTTTCTTCTCATTCAGGTAATGTCAGAAATAGGACTGATTTCATTTATATTGATTCTTGCACATTAACCTGAAGCTGCTTCCCTTGTGCAAGCAATGTTTCATTGATTCCTATAGAAAACAAGCCCGTCACTAGATAACCCTCTATTCAATATTAGTCCTTGGTGACTTCGACATTGACCTTCAGTGCCCCTGTCCTAACCCATTCATTAAAGACCAGCGGTGGGACTGCTCCCAGACACTACACACACCTTCCCCTGGCTGGAGGCAGCTTCGCATCACACACAGCCATCTACCCAAATACTACTACTGATTATAGTACTATATATACTTAATGTGCTATTATAGACACAGCTAATTAACACTCAGAGGAGTGCTGACCAAAGAACACTGCAGAGAATTTGTGCCGTTAACCGGAGTTTGTTTATCTGAGGGAATTACCATCCAAAATCCTGCAAGGTAGTGGAGTAGGAAAATAACAGACTTCAAGTGTGTAAATAAGAGGGAAAATGCAAGCAGCATCATGCTCTGAAGTCCAAACAGAGATTGCTTTCCCATTTCCAAATTCTCCTGGGGATGGTAGACATGTCCATGTGTTATGAGATAATAAATGAAAGAAATAGAAATAGGTTAGACTTCAATATATTTTAAGAACACTTCAATTATAATGTAAATGAAATAAAACTGTTCCAGGTTCTGTGGACCGTGTGGATTTCCCTGCCTGTCCCTCCCCGGGTCCAGTCGTGACTGTGGGTGGGTATGAGGCGCTGGGTGGGCTGTGAGGTTACACCGTCACCCCGTTCCCACTTCCAGGCTGCTTGCCCCCCACTCTCTCATGTATTTGGGGTGCTGCTGGGCTGGGTGGCCTGCTGATCCTGGGCACCCATGGGCAGGGCCAGGACCACAGTCTGAACATGGCCCTGAGCTGGGAACTGGTCCCAGTCTACTGCTGTCTGCCCCTTCCAGCCCTGTCTGTACCCCGGACCCAAGCCTGCTCAATAGACTGGACGAGTTTTTAATTGCTATAAGTGTTTTTCTTTAGCTTCTGGTCTTAGTAGAGCTATCAACTGTCTTTAAGGGAGTCTATTTCTGATTTTATTTTTTCCTGAGTTAACCTACACATGTGTCTGTGCCATGAATCCTTGGTAAAATATTATTCAAATGTGACCAAATGTTTCTGAATATTTTTCTAAAATTTATTTGCATATTTTGTAATTAGAAAATTACTATAACAATGAAAATCATCAAAAAAGACAAAAATCTCAAAGCCAGCCTGGGCAGGGAAGTCCAGGAGACTCTTATCTCCAATTAACCACCAAAACCCAGAAGTGGCACTGTGGCTCAAGTGGTAGAGCGCTCACCTTGAGCTGGAAAGCTCACATTCCTTTAAATAAAGGTTGAGGACAGGTACTAAAGGGTCGTAGTTGACATTGATGAAAGGGAATGGAATTTCAATTGGATGAGGCAAGTAAATTCTGGAGATGAACTTCAGTACACAGATACAATAATTATACTCTACTGGCAAACTTGAAAGTTGGTAAGTAAGGAGATCGATGCATTTTCTCCACAAAATATGCCTGGTGGTAAACATCTTAATGCGATTGACTGATTTACTCCTTTCACACTGAATATATGTTCATATCAAAATATGATTATGGGTTTTGAACTCAGGACTTGGGTGCCATCCCTGAGATTTTTGTTGTTGTTGGTCCTGGCGCTTGCACTCTGGGCCTGGGCGCTGTCTCTGAGCTCTTCTGCTCAAGGCTAGCGCTCTACCACTTGAGCCACAGCGCCACTTCCCCCTTTTTCTGTGTATGTGGTACTGAGGAATCAAACCCAGGGCTTTATGCATGCTAGGCAAGCACTCTACCACTGAGCCACATTCCCAGCCCACTTGAGATTAAAAAAAAATTTTTTTTTGCTCAGGGCTAGCACACTACTACTTGAGCCACAGCTCCATTTCTGAGTTTTCTGAAAATAGCTAGAGATGAAAGGCTCACAAACCTTTCCTGCCTGGACTAACTTGAAACTGTGCCCCTCAGACCTCAGCCCCCTGAGTAACTAGATTACAGGAACGAGTCTCTGACACCTGACAAAACATTATTTTTATACCATAGATATAGTCAAGTTTTACATATCAATTACTCTATAATGAAGAAAGAAGGAGAGAAACAATGGAAACAGAGAACAAAGTAAAGCGAAAAATAGACTCAAAATAGTTATGAAAGACCCACGAAGTTTAGGGATCTGTTATTTTCTGTTATTTTCCCTCATTAACAGTTTGTACACTTGCCTACCATGGGAAAACAAAACACGATCCTATGAGATCATTGTCCAGGTCATGTGATCTCAGCCTTTCTGTCTGGCAGGCCCAGATTCTGCAGCATTGGGTGGAAGCTAGCGCTGTAACTAGCTTCCACTCCTACCATGACCCTTAGGTTTACAGTCACGTCTGTCTGCTTCCAGTAATCCTGCACAGGATCTAGCTGGCAGCTTGGGAAAGACAGTATCTGAATCTTCAGTGTTACTTTCTTTTTGTTCCCTTGGCAAAACAGGTATGTGTGATGGATGTAATAAGAGAGTCAGACAGTGAAGGTTTCTCTGATGTAAGATTGAGGTGATTCTCCAGTCCTATCTGCTCTGTGCTAATTGTTTCAGTTTGGACTCATCTCTTTTTCTTTTCTGTAGAGTTTTTATGGCATGTTGATGAATGAATGGTCTTCCTTGTGTACAGTCTCATCATCAATGCCTCACTCCCAGCCTTTGTTTTACTTCCTGAATTTATTAACAAGGCAGCCTTCTTTTTTAATTTTTATTTATTTTATTTTATTTTAATTTTTTATTGTAAAGATACTATACAGAGGGTTACAGTTACATGAGTAAGGTAATGAGTACACTTCCTATTGAGCATATCTCCTCCATTGTTTTCCCCCTACTATCCCTTCCCTCCGCAGCCTTCTTAATTAAAGCCCAAAGTCAGGAAAAATTAGGTTCAACTTTGTCATTTCATTTCCCACATTCCCCTTAAACAATTTCTACTCTTAGGGCAACATACACTCTTGGCCATTGTTCCAGTGTGTCTTGAACTTGCCTGTTATTTCTGCTACATAGTAATCTGCTTGGAACAATCCCTCAGATTCACCTTTGACTAGTGCAGTGTTTCCATTTGGTAGGGCTCCATTCTACGGTGCGTCCTTTGCAGTCCTCCCTGACCTGCAAGGCTGCGGTACTCTCCTACGCTGCTCTGTGACACCTCTGGGACAGGTCCCAGACTGTGCCTGGGCTCCTGTAGAATGCAGACCGCCATCCTAAGCACTGACACAGAGTAGATCCTCAGTGCACACATTTAATTAGTGAGATAATTAAATTAAAGATGAGGCATAGTAGGAATAAACAGAACTAGAACATAATCGGCTGTGACTTGCCCATTACTTATTGTTTGATGTGACTAATTGGTCTTTGTGATCTTGTGAAACTATTCCTACCTAAAGCTTTAATGTTATTTTTATTAGTTTCTCTGGAAAAACAGGTAGATGAGAGGGACAGACAAAAATCTGTAATGAAAAAGTCAGTGAACCAAAGGTCCTGTGCTCTGGGAAGTGAGAAACGTTCTCTTCACTCTGTGTGATGCCAACCTTTCGCTTGGCAATTTGTTCTGGGTGCTACAGGAGAGGGTGAGGCAGGTGTGGGGGCCTGGGAGCCAGAGTCGCTGTGCCTGGCAGGGTATGGGCAGGGAAAATGAACATTGTAGTTCCTAAGGAACAAGAACAGAAGAATTATGGATGAGTCTGAGTGTTAGAGTGCTTGCTGAACATGAGCAAGGACCTGGGTTTGATCCCTAATGCCACATAAGATCACCCAAAAAGCAACCCACACACACACACACACACACACACTTGTTGTATGAACTTATGTCTACGCTGGCATTCCACTTCTCAGCTCTTGTTATTCTCTTGGCTAGAGTTCTTGTGAAGATTATTTCAAGCTGTTGAGCACTGTTGATCACCACATCAACAGTGTCTCGTGTATGCTCTCTGAAAACTTGTCCTGTAGGGAGACGTCTGAACGATTCCCCACGGATGCTATCATAGAACAGTGTGGCCCATTTACAATGTATAAAATGAATGTAACTTTGGTATCTTGTCTTTTTCTTTTCTCTTCCTGCTCCTCCTTCTAGTTTTGCAGGACTGGAGTTTGCACGTGGGTGCTTTGCTGGCAAGGAGGTGCTCTGCCACTCGAGCCAGGCCCCCAGCGTGCTTCCCTCATTCTCAAATGCTCGTGGCTGTGGTCTTCTCCAGCCCAACGAGGCTGTCCTTTGGTTTCTATTGGGCCTGCCTCATTTCATATAATCAGCTCCCCGTGGTTGGTCTTTGGTGTGTAACTTTTCTCCTCTGAAGGCTTCCACCGAGGGATCGCATTCCTGTTTGTATATTCTGATGTTACTTTTATATAGACCCTGTATAATTTTATTGATTCTATATTTCTGTTATTATATTCTATCTCTATCTATAACCCACCTAGATATCTCAATATTATTTAGAACTACACTTGCTTAAAATAAGTGTAATAATATTTTCTCTACTCACACTAATTCCATATTCAGTTTCCATATTTCTATTTCCATATTTCTATAAAGTACCACTGTTGTCCACGCTCACATCTTGGCATCAGCTTTGACTTACTTCGTGTTCACTCCAACTTTAGCCACCACGTCCATTGGTTTCTCTCATCCTTTGTGTTTTCTGCACCTGTAGTCTTGCAGTCCTACCCAGCCTGGCTTCTCGCCACTCAGACTCGCCGTTCTCCGAAGAGGACTTCCTCCTCTGTAGTCCTTTTCTCCTCCACTCACACAGAGACAGCTTTCTCCCTGGCCACCGGCCTATTTTCAATTCCTTGTGTCCACCCTTCCACTGGCTTTCTAAACATATCTAGTAATTGTTAAATATCTTAGAGATTTTGGGCCAACGACTCACAGTCATCTGTTTCTCCCCAAAGTAGTTTTCATGCTGTGGTCAATCACGTAGCTTGTCCACAACCCACGCACAGCCGACTTACCTGTTGGAAAGTATTTAACCAACGGATGGAATGACTTCTTTAGACTTTATGTTTGCAGATTGTAATATTTATTATCTTTTATGGTTACAGATTCAAGCCATGCCAACACCCTGACTTCTCTCACCATGACAGTCCCCTGTCTGCATTCACCTCACGGTTTAGTAGATCTGTTCCATTCTGTGAAGTGCTACACAACGCCCGATGTGTGTTTATATTCTGGGCAAAGATCAGCTTTGTACATTTTCCTTCCTTGACATGTGGAAATCAATGTTAAATTATAAAGTAGTGAGAAGGTAAGTAAGCCATGGAAGTAAAATGTAATTGGCAGAGTTTTGTGATTTTCTGGTGCATATAAACTATTTCTGTTTTTAGTCACTTGTAAAATTTAACGTGAAAAATTTACAAATTATTTTTGCCACAAAAGAGCAGTTTTTGGAGAAAAGTTCATTTTTATGAGTAGTACATATTGTATAATTTGTCCTCCTGGCCTTAAAAGGCCAGTGAAAATTTCCATCTTCACAGGCAAGTCTTCAGAATAGGGTGGTTTACCTGAGTTGGTCCTTCTACCATTTTCTTGTCTCATTCCCCATGACAAAGGCATTCTCCAGTGTTATCTGCAGCCATGGGAGGAGACTCCTTGTCTCTTCACGTGTGATATTGTAGAGTTTCATGGCTTTAGTCTGTGAGGCTTACTGTGACAGAGGGGTGCAACCTGGCCACAGCACCAGCTGTCTTTCTGCAGGCCAGAGGCAGGCTGTGACTAGCGTCTCTACTAGGAGCACAATTAGGTGGTTTTTTAAAAAATAGACTTAATTATTAAATTATTAAAATAGTATTTTTGAAATAGACTTAAGTTATTAAAAACAACTGTAGAAATAAAAGACACATATAGCTAGGTCTGGTTCCTATATCTTAGAATTCACAAATGTACATAGTAATATACATTGATGCACATATGTATGTATATGTATAATGGTGACTGGTAGCAATGTGCCATTTGTCACAGATCTAGTTTTATGTTATGTCACTTATTTCTCATGGGCTTTGTAGGGAAGCAGCCGCTGCTCTTTTAAGCAATGAGATTTTCCTAAGGTCTTTTCATCACCTTTGTTATAGTCACATAAGAAGCCAGTCCTGGAACTGGAATTTAAAAACAGTGCTGGAGGATCTCAAGCCACAAGTTATCCTTTCTACTACAAGGTATAAAAGCCAGTCTGTGAATTTTTGTATTTTTAGGGTTGAAGAATAGCAATATAAAAAACTGGAAACTGTTTCTGGACTTCAAAGTCTGAGCAGACAAGCGGTGGAGCACTCTGTAGAAGGACGGGCGCCCCGGCGCTGACCGCAGGACAGACGGGCCTGCAGAGTGGACGGGAACCCAGGAAGACACAGGGACAGGGCCTCGTATGTCTGCTGTCTGTTGTGCATCCACATCCCTCTCTCAGTCAGCACATGCTAGGCTTCCAAAACCATGGTAAGTGTTCCTTTTTACCGTGATTCCATGTGTTGATATAATTCTGCAGTATAAAAGGCGTTATAGACTCTCTGAGTAAGGGAGAAGGTGATAGCTGACCTTCCTTCTTCCCCCTCTATAAACGCAACACAGTGTCAAAGTCAGCGGCACTGAATCAGTGCATTGAAGGTTGGAGACTGGTCTTATTTTTGTGTTCTTCTCTAGCTGTGTTCTCACAATCAGAGCTTACCACCGGTCACACTACTAGAATTTGTCTAGCTCTCTCCCTTTCTCTCTGGGCTCCTGTATTTATGTTTTTTGTCACTGTGCATATCTTTCCTATTTTCTTCATCTTTTCTATATTTCTAATATTCATCTCATACCATTTGATCTTTGTTCTACTTTACTAGATCTTAGAGTACTTACTTGATAAAAATCAAGTAAAAACCTCGCTGAGGTTTGGAAATTGTTAGCTCACCCTAAAAGAAATACACAGAACCTCTTCTCAGTGGGAGCCATTAGCTATGGCTAGCATAATTTTTAAAAGTAAGACTTTTTAATGCATGCTGAGTATTATACAAAATGGTATGCAGGAGAGAACCAAGAATTACAAAGGTCATTGACTGGAAGACGTGTGACTCCCTCGGGGTTATGAGTCTGATC